TTACGTCTTAAATCCCAAACCACCGATTGAAACTATTGATGTTGAGGCTATTCCAGCAACTCCAGCCACCGTCACATCTTCGGCTGTCGCTGCTGTACCAGCCACCACAACACCAAATCCAGAGTATTCTGCTTGGAAAAAGAGAGATAGATCTGTTCTTTTATGGCTCAAGTCAGCGCTGTTGAACAATCCCTCTGCTCTAGTTTCCCGCTCACACTCTTCTCGAATTGCGTGGCTGACACTGGAGAAACTCTTTCAAGCCCAAACCAGGGCTTGTCGTTTACAACTCAAAACCCAGCTTCAAACCCTTACAAAAGGGCCAATAACAATGATTGAGTACATAGAACGGAAACGATCGATTTCTGATTCTTTGGCTGAAAATCTTTATCCTATCGACGATGAAGATCTTTTTGGCTATATTCTCAACGGCCTTGACTCCTCATACGGAGCATTCGTTACTGCTTTTATGATCAAATCAGAGGTATTAAATGTTGATGATATCGTTGGCTTATTGTTACAGGAAGAAGCTCGATTGGTGCAAGAACACATTCGTCTTGCCTCTGTAACTCATACATCAGCGGTAGCACTCAATGTAAATCGCTCAAATCCCTCAAATTACCATTCTTCTTCTTCTCACAATGGCTCTAGTTCAGGTTCATCCAACCCTGCTCGACGCACAGATCCACGAAAGAAGAAATCCATTTGCCAGTTGTGTACGAAACCAGGACACGAGGCAATTGATTGTTGGCATCATGGAAATCAGATCGACTTTCCATCACGCAGGCTAAACCCGAGGAATAACCCTCGTTAAGTTCACTTGACACAGCAACACAGTCCCTCGACACTCATTGATCCCTCGTGGTACTTTGACACAGGGGCGACTGATCATGTCTCTCCCGATATCTCTAAGCTTAACATTGCAGATGCGTACACAGGGAGTGACAAACTTCAAGTAGGAAATGGTAAAAATTTACATATTTCTCATGGTGGATCTTCTTCTTTGCCTAATCTCAAATTGCCAAATGTGCTAATTGTTCCTGAACTCACTAAAAATATCCTTAGTGTGTCCAAACTAACTGATGATAATGATATTTACATGGAGTTTTGGCCTAAATCTTGTTTTGTTAAGACGTTTCAAGGTCAAACATTGCTCCAAGGGGATAAAAACAAAGGTCTATATCGATTACCATGTCACAGTTTCCGTTCTTCACCAAAAGCTTTCAATAACATCCGAGTCTCTCTCAATGGATAACATAAGAGGCTGGCTCACCCACACGAACAACTTCTTCGTCGCTTAGTTTTTACTTTTAATCTTCCTGTTTCAAAAAATAATTTTCCTAATGTTTGTGACTCTTGTCAATTAGGAAAAAGTCATAGGTTGCATCTTCCAGTTTCACATGTAACTTCTTTAAAGCCCTTTGAATTGGTTTACTCTGATGTTTGGGGACCCGCTCCCGTTTTCTCCATGAATGGAAATCGATATTTTGTTTTTTTATGGATGATTGTTCTAAATTTATATGGGTTTATTTCCTTTCTCATAAATCGCAAGTTTACTCAACCTTTTTACATTTTAGCCAAATGGTCAAAACTCAGTTTTCTTGTGATATAAAAACCCTACAAAGTGATTGGGGAGGAGAGTATCATAATGTCTCTACCTTCCTCAAGTCTCATGGAATCCATCGAGTCTCCTGTCCTTATACAAAAGAAAAAAATGGGGCCATTGAAAGACGAAATCGAATCATTGTGGAAAAAGGTCTCACTTTGTTAGCACAATCCTCTCTTCCTTATGTATTTTGGGAACATGCTTTCAAAACTGCCACTTATCTAAACAATCGAACTATTACCCTTATCTTAAACTATGAGTCTCTATACCAACACTTGTATAACAAAATTCCAGATTATGCCTTTTTAAAAACATTTGGCTGCTTGTGCTATCCGTATTTACATCCCTATAATCCTCACAAAATAGATTTTCGTTCTAAACCATGCATTTTTTGGGATATAGTGCTTCCCACAAAGGGTATATACGTTATCATCCACCAACATTAAAAATATACATATCCAGACATGTAATTTTTGATGAAGATGTCTTTCCATACGTGCCAAAATCGCCTACTCAAACTAAGCCCACTTCTTTTAATATAGACATCTTGCCAAACATTGTTGCTCACATACCAAGCCCACCTCCTGTTATTAACACTGGACCTTCTACACCTCCCCCTTCAACTTCTCTTAACAACCCAATCATCCAAAGCCCACATCCTAACTCATCTCAAAACCCTATCACTCCAACCGACCAAACATCGATGCCTTCCGTTGTTTCTTTTCCTTCCGTTGTTTCTTCTCCTATCCCTCCTCCACCTCATGCCATACCTTCCTTTTTTCATCCTTCTGATACAACTCAACATCCCATGGTTACTAGGGCTCGCACAAATTCGCTTAAACCTAAGTTGTTTCATATAGTTACTTCATCCCCCTCTATCATCGAACCTTCTAATTTTTCTCAAGCAATTAAGAACAAATGTTGGCAAGATGCAATGAAAGCAGAGTATGAGGCTCTCATGAAAAATCATACCTGGTCCCTTGTTGCATGCCCTACTAATTCTAATGTTGTTGCCTGTAAGTGGATCTAAAAGTAAAGAAAAATTTTGATGGGAAAATTGCTAGACACAAGGCACGGTTAGTGGCACAAGGTTTCAGTCAAGAGGCAGGGCTTAATTTCTTTGACACATTCAACCCCGTTATCAAACCCACAACAATCAGATTAGTTCTCTGTATTGCTCTTTCTAGCGGTTGGAGAATTTGGCAAATAGACATTAACAATGCATTCTTCAATGGGGACTTATCTGAAGAGGTGTACATGAAGCAATTAAAGGGATTTGAAGATCCATCTCGACCTAATCATGTGTATCGCTTACACAAGGCTTTGTATGGCCTTAAACAAGCTCCAAGAGCTTGGTTCAATAAGCTCAAAAGCTATTTAGTCACACATGGATTTCGAGCATGTCAATCTAATACCTCTCTGTTTGTTCATATTACACCACAATACACTATATATGTCTTGGTATATGTTGATGATTTAATTGTCAGAGGTACTGATGATGTCAAACTCAATCAGTTCATCACAGATTTAAATCAGATGTTCTCTCTCAAGGACCTTGGCGATTTGAATTTTTTTCTTGGCTTACAGATTCAAAAGTCAAAATCTGGTTTTATCCTCTCACAACAGTCCTACATTTAAGAAATTCTCAATCGCTGCAATATGTTTTTGTCATCTCCAATCTCTACACTTGCTGGTCCATAAGTGTACGTCTTACTAAAGTTGGAGATCTTTTTCATGATCCTATACTTTATCGTCAAACTGTTGGTTCTCTACAATATGCTACTATTACAAGATCGGATATCGCCTACTCCGTGAATCGTGTTTGCCAATTCATGCACTGTCCTACAAATAATCACTGGCAAGCAGTAAAACGAATTCTACGCTATCTAAATGGCACACTTCATTATTGTTTGCATTTTTCCCCAATAAATGCAAAAGGTCTTCATGTGTTTTCTGATTTTGGGTGGAACTCTGACCTTGATGACAACCGATCTCAATATGGCTTTGTTATTTTCCACGGTTCCAATCTCATAAGCTGGACCTCTCGCAAACAACGAGTTATTGTCCGCTCCAGCACAGAGGCTGAATACAAATCCTTAGCCTACACTACAACAGAATTAATGTGGTTGAAGCAACTCATCACAGACCTTCATGTTCCTATTACAACTCCTCCACTACTGATATGTGACAATGTTGGAGCAATCTTTATGACTAAAAATCCGGTGATTAGTACACGCTCTAAACACATGTCTTGGATTTTCATTTCATCAGAGAACTAGTAGAAGCTGGCCAACTCAAAGATATGTCATGTTGCTTCCGAGGACCAGCTTGCAGACATATGCACTAAACCACTGGGAAAGGATATAATTTTCTTTCTACGTTCCAAGCTTCAAGTTCGTCCCGCTCATGAGCTTGCGGAGGGGGGGGGGGGGGGGTAGTAGCATTAGAATAAACCACGTGTATATAACAATAGTCAATAGTCTTACCGTATGTATAGGAGAGTATATCTCTTCCTCAGTTAGTATCCCCTGTATATGTACATGTAATCCATCTCGTATCAATACACACAATTTACAACTTTATAATGGTAAATTTGTTAAAAAAATACTTATTTGGTAAATAAGTTTTTTAAAAGACACCACTTTGGTAAAAAAGTCAAAAAAAAAAAAAAAAAAAAACCTGACTTAACCCACATAAATCACATAAGTCCGATGTTACAAAAATCACAAACCATTACATTGACAGAAGAATTAAGTTTTTATTTATACCGTGATTGAAACTAAAACCCCTAAAATCCCAAAAGTCAATGCATTTAAAAAAAAAAAAAACCCGACTATACTTATATAAGTCACAGAAAATTAATGCTATCGATATTTTGTTAAACATGAAGTAATACCGGAAAATCATCTTTTAAGTGTAAGATTCTAGAAGAATTAAGTGTTCATTGTCCAAGATTAATAATCGTATAAAACTCAAATCCCCCGACAAAGAAAAACGATGTAATGTAATTTCCAATTTTCAGAAAAACTAATGTTAAAGAAAACATGAGTATGTGATGAAACAAAATCATAATCATCATCTATGTAGATAAAATTAAACGGTGAACCAAACAAAACACAAGAAACTATTCAACTTCTTTAAATTCCAAAACATATTCCAAATCCTAGATAAAACAAAGAAAATGTGTTAACTACATAATGCCCTTATATTTAGCTTCAGATAAATCTTTTGGCGTATTGACTTAGGGTTCAGCATTTTGTTAACACTGCACACGGAGGAAAGAAAAGGGGTAAAAAGTCATGGATAAGTTAAAGAAAATCAACTGTTGGTCATACTCATACCATAAAAGTCATCAAGCTGAGCTGATCATAGACTTCTTCTATAGGTAAGGTTAGGATTAGATTTGGGCTTTCATGATAGAAATGTTTATACCATGATCATGAAAACACTTACTTTCTTCAGCCGCTTCCAAATGGTGTGAGATTAATATTTGCACAAGCTCCTTTTTTGACATGACTGGGTCTGGGTGTGCTAGAAAGATCTCCAAAAGACTGTCAAAGAGTTTAGGCAACTGTGCAACCATCTGTTCAGTCCAGTTAGCCTTTGAGATCCATTTGCGCTTTATAACCTGAAAGGAGATGACATAATTAATTCGTCTAATAGAAACAAACTCTCTTTTCCGAACATCAAAGATAAGCATGAGTTAAAAAAAACATACTGTAAGCAAGAAGAAGGGAGATCAAATGGTATGATAAGGTATTATTATGATTTGTGTTTAGGGGTATGATCAGGCATGCATAAAGATATGTGTTTGGAGGAAGAAAGAAAACGTAACAAAAACATAAGTTATACAAACATACCCACGGAACAATTAGAGCATTAGGACGATCACCACGATTAGTGGAGAGGAAAGGAGGCCTTTCCGACACGAAACGTTTCATTCTCCAAAGAAGAATCAAAAGTTAGTGATCTTCTGGGACCTTTTTCTGCAGATCTGGTAGTAACAGTCTTGTGTGGTGCTGCTGGTGGTGCAGATCGTGTCAAATCAGAGCTATCGATCGGAGTGGCAACCAGAACCAAGCCCAAATCGAGATTTTCCATTGCGAATGAAGATGTCACGCTGCATTCAAACATGGCCGAAATATTCAAACCCTACGAATCATGTTGTATACAAACCCAAAATATATAGTCAAGTATTATCGTCAATTTATTCAAATATAAGACATAGTTTTCAGTAGAGGACGGTAGCAGAAACGGGGAAACTATACGTACCTTTCTGGAAGGGCTTTGGAGGTGTTTGGATTCGTGATTAGGGAAGCGGAAACATTAGGTTTCAGATCCAACTGCTTCGTGATCGGCGGCGACGAAGAAACTCCGGGGAATCCATTTTGATGTCAGAGTCTATTTGTAACTTGGGCAAACAATTAGGGTTTCTTATGGCAAAAATGTTTATATGGAAACTCACGAGTCAGGCCTCACAAACAATTATCGTGCATGGTGTAGTAATGTTATTATGGAGAATATACAGCGAACAAAGTATCCTTATCATTACATCAAATGTTGATCTCAGCTTCAGTTTGGAAACAATAATGCTATAAATGGGTGGATTTCTCAGTTTGGAAACACATGGTGTTTCGTTAATTGCTTTCACTTTGTATAGTTTTGGAAACATGAGATGTAATTGGCCGATTTCGTTAATTGTTGGTCATCCATCTAACAGACTAAGAGAGGTTGTAGATTAATCGGGCTAACCTTTTGTTTCTTGATTGATTTGTTGTTAAATAAGCCTAACAGTTGGGTTGGGTTCGGATTGGTGGGCACAGATTGACGGATTGACGGGTCAAAAAACATAAATTCAACCCAACCCATATAATATATGGGTTGACGAGTCATGGGTTGGTGGGTTGGAAACCTCAACCCAACCCAACCCAACCCATATACCCGTTTAAGTATATAGATTTGTATGTTCACAAATTAATGAGTTAAACCCAACCCATATAATCCGTTTAATAAATAAACAACACATTTTAAAAAAAATGAGGTTTTTTTCAACTTAAATTCATAAAATAATTAAAGTATTTAACATAAAAAAAATGGATTTCAACATAAATTCATAAAGTCAATAACATCCAAATAAAAATGAATAAATGAAAACATTCATAGAAAGTGGATGTGTTCTACATTCGTAACTCGTGAAAAAAAAAAAAAGACACGTATTTTTCCTTTTTTCTGATTAACGAACCGCAAATGCAAATTAATCACATACAAATACGGAAAGAATACAATGATACAAAATATTACGAATACGGATGAAAATCAAATTTCATTAATAATTATATATCATTTTTTAAATGTAATGTATATATATATATATATATATATATATATATATATATATATATATATATATATATATATATATATATATATATATATATATATATTGGTTGGCGGGTTGACCCGCGAATCCAAACAGATAACCCAACCCAACCAATGAAATAAATGGGTTGGTGGGTCAAAAATCTCAACCCAAACCCATCTATTTTCGGGTTGAGTCAGCATCGGGTTACGGGTTGGATCGAGAGTAGTCATCCCTACTTATTTATTGAGTATTGACATTGTTGTTATGTGTTTGGTTGTTTCTTAGACGATTGACTTAGAAAAGATGGAAAAATGGAGGAAGTGCCTAATTGAAGGCGACAATGCATTCATAATAGGGAAAAACCCTAGGATAACTGAGCAACATCGGCCATGTAGAACAATCACTAAGAATTCTATTAAATCCTATATCAATTTCTCAAAATTTCTTTATTTTATTCTGGTTCTGATGCTGAATCGCGTCCCGTCATCTTTCACATCAACTATTCCAAAAGGTTCTTCATTACTTTTGTTTAATTATTTATCTCTAATACGAAACTAGGTAAAATGATGTAGGGTTTCGGGAGACATTGAAAATTCTAGATTCCACTGATGCTACAATAATTCTTCATGATCTTTCATTCATAAGAGCATTGGGTATGAGCCAGTGTTATAACACCATCTTATATACCATATCAACCTTAACACCATCATAACACCATGCATGAAATGATGTTTCAATGTTATAACTTGTTAAAAGGTAGAAAACTGTAAGAGAGAAAGGGAGAAAGATGAAGGAAAATGATTTTGATTGGTACTTATTTCTTGTTTCAATAAGTGGTAACGGGCACGAGAAGTGCCAGAACAAGCAGAAAAGAGAAGAGGGACGATGTTCCCCAGTTATAACGCTGTTTTTGGCATCCACCTTAGCCACAACAAGCACGAGATGTGCCCACACTGTATCCTCTAAAAGAAAAAAACTGTTGATACTCATATAAATGTTATGTCATATATGAACAATTATCCTTTTGATTATTTAGGTAAATTATTTATATTTCTTCGTGTTAACATGCTATTTGATTATCTATTGGAAAATATACTAAATTCCTTTCATCATCAACACTTCCCAAAAGGAATTCCCATGTAGCCAAAATAAAGGATTTAGCACATTGTGATTATCTTTTAAAAATGAGTTTTTAAATAATTAAAAAAATAAAAATAACGGGGTTACCGAGAAATCAATATAACATTGGTCAATTGAGGGTAGCCCGTTGAATGTGTTTCCCTCTTGATTTGTGTGTGACGGGGACCGGAATGACAACTACAAAAACAACCGGGTTTACTTAGATTTTCAGCGAGGCAGGGTTTTGAAGGGTTTTCTCGAGTGAGTTTTTTTTATTATTTAATATTTTAGACTACTATTATTTTTTATATTGGAATAACATTTCACACAATTCTTTTTTAGTTTATTGAATTCTATGTGAAATGTGTGATCTATATTGCCATTATACAACATACTCCATAATATATTTTGTTTGCATTTAATTGGAGGTAGTTATAAAGCCATCCACATCATTGCAATATCACTAATCTTTCAACTGTTACACATCATCTTTGCAATAACTACTTACATCAGTATACTAACACTCATATTTCAAAAGTGGTACCCACTGACACATCAACAATTATTATATATATATATATATATATATATATATATATATATATATATATATATATATATATATATATATATATATACACACTTAATAATAAATAAACATAAATTTTATTATTATAATTAAAATAATATTTTTAAAATAAAATAACAAAATAATAATAAATATTAAATTTTAAAATCGTATAACTAGTAGAAACAAATCTCGAATATTCAATGTAGGATTGTGGCTATACTTTATTAAAGACTTAAAGTAGTTTTCTTATAAAAATAATATAATAATATTAAAATGGCCGACAAATTTCTTTTGTAAGTCTTTCAAGTTGTGAAAGATCAAATCCAAGGCGGCTTTTAATTTGGTTTTGCAAGGGCTTTGCAATGCCCGCTGTGGATGCTCTAATTGAGTTCCAAGATAAAAACATTCAAACAGGGACACTATAGGATTCAACTATTTCGGACTGCAATGTAAGGATTTTAATTATTAATTTTTGCAAGGTATGTTCTTCATAGAGTAACCTCTTTTGGTTCTATATCTTTCAAATATTTGAAACTTTTTGCGAGTTTAGCTTTAAAATTTTGATCGGAGCCCTAAATTGAGTTTTAATTTTAGTCTTGATTTTGGTTAATTTTGCTATCCGGCATTTAGGTAAAATAATCTTTAAAAAGATAAACAAACATCAAAGATAATGTAGTTATCTACATAACCTAAAAGGTAGTTTGCCTTATAACTTTCTTCAAAGATTTATTATTAATGCTTACCTTTCTAATATTATGTAGGCCTCGTTATGTGAACTTTATAAACAAACATCAACACTAAAGGGGTAAAGCCAGAAAAAGATAAATTTCACAATCTTATATGATTTTAGGTTACCGGAATGGAAAGTTTTATACCATTTTCACTTATCTTTTATTGGGTCATTTAAATTTGTCTAGGAAAACGATCTTTTTGCAAATAAAATGAAACCTATAGATGTACTGATATAGGGCTAGAAGAGGAAGCAGAACTTGCACATATCTGAACACGTTTTCATTTTAGGGTAAATTTTTTATGTACTAAAGTTTTGAGTTCATCCATAGCCATGGAGGGAATAATGACCACGAGGAAGAGGTGGAGCAAATAGTGTTAACTGATTGACCATACTCAGAATCTTGGCATGATCAATTGAAATTGATTTGCTAGATGGAAGTTATGCTTGGGTTTTTAAAGAAAAACGAAGGATGCTATAATAAAAGAATGAAAAAGTATCTTGTTTTTTATGCTTTATAAATACAAAGCAGGAATAACATCGCACTTTCATTGAATAGATTATTGTAGCATCCTACTTTCATTTGAAGAAAAAGAGAACATTAAAAAATGAAAACCCATTGACATTTGGGTTGTTAGGCAGAAAATAGGATGCTATTTTACAAATGTGTGTGTCTGGTAAAAAAAAACTCAGAAAAAGTATCTTACCATTTGTTAGGGCTGTGTTTTTGTTATTTGTAGGTGTAAAAGGAGAAAAAATTGGAGTGGACCAAAGGCATGCTACATAAATTGGTTTGCCTTTTTTTTTTTTTTTTTCCCAGAAGAAATGAGTATGCTGATTTTTTTTTTCCAGTTTTAGTTCCAAAACATTATTATTTCTGGAAAATCTATCTGTCATAATGCATATTCGGTTGTTGTGTGATTAAATAATTACCAAATTTATGAGCGTCTCATTTTACAGTGTATGTTTTATGGGTTGTTTGATTTGGATCTAACTGGGTCAGTCATAGCATTTTGTTGACCCAATCCGAGTCGGCCGTTTGATTTCTCTAAAACCACATCTGACTCGGTCATTTAGGCTTGACCCGGTCTTTGAAAAAAATCATACTGACCGAGTAAGTATCACATTTTTTTTTTTCTTTTGTGCCCTTGATAGCATCCATCGTAGCTTCACTTTCGCCACTACTTCAACCTTCAGCAGCGTCATCTTCCTCTGATATTCCATCAGTTTCCTACCGTATCGCCTCCCCATAGACTCGTCACCGACATCCAGAACTTCTGTAATTGCTGACCAAGCTTCTTTAACACATTACTATCGCCGACGCATCTCGGAGACTCCGACTTCGTCACAAT